GCACACTAGAGGAGAAATTTCCCTCACATCATGCGCCGACTGCATCCTCCGAGCTTAGCCTGGGAGCTACAGTGAAATGAGACGTTTCCACTGGTCCTAAATTTCACCGTATACTTTGCTTCCGCCACACCAGGCCAGCAAATGCAGGCCCAACTAGATTCTGGAAGGGTATCATCCTCAACCCCAACAGACAGCAGTTCAAATATTCTATAAGATACTACAGGGATTCCAATCCAATCCAGATAAAACAAGCGTACGGCATGCAGATATAGCAATTCAGCGGAGTAGAACGAAGGCTACTAATCCTCAAAAAACAAACGAAGGCTACTAGTATGCAGTTAACAATTATCCTAATCTGTTGCTGCCTCAGGCTGCACGTTAATCTTGAACTTCATCTTCATCCATATCACCTTGGATCAGGCAGGCAGTATCCAGCTGCCATTCAACGATATATTCAGGTCAGCAAATTTCTAAACAATATATGCATGGTTATTACATAATAATAGTGAGATCGATGAGATGTATCTACATACATGTTTGGTGGTCCGTTGTCATCTTTCAGACGGCCCCCATGATCACCAATCATCGCCCTGTCTGACACGCAGAATACAAGATTTAATAGAATATTATGTTGGTTTTACTCCAACTAGATTATTGTTAAAATGTCCAAACAAATCTTGCAGTCATGTGCAAAACTAAACCTGAATACCAGCACTAACATAACAACTTAAATACCAAAAGAGAAATCCACACTTACTTTTTTGTCTTCAAATCATCCAAAATTTTCCAGATATCAAGAAAAAACATGAACGGGTTTCCTATTTCTGTATCATAGTAATTGATGCCCATAAATTTTCCACAAGTATGTAAGGCTAACCAGGTTATATGGAAAGTTTGGTCAGTTGTGACACCAAGTATGTAAGGCTAAGTACATCATATTCTGGTCAAAATACAACAACAACAAAGCATTTCAGTTCCAAACAAATTAGGGTAGGCTAGAGTAGACAATTAAAAAAGAAAAAGGCAACTTAGTGGTTTTACACGTAGTGTACCAAAGATATTCACAATCCAAATCGCTTGACACCTCGTCGTAGTCTTGTAATAACCATGCATATATTGTTTAGAAATTTGCTGACCTGAATATATCGTTGAATGGCAGCTGGATACTGCCTGCCTGATCCAAGGTGATATGGATGAAGATGAAGTTCAAGATTAACGTGCAGCCTGAGGCAGCAACAGATTAGGATAATTGTTAACTGCATACTAGTAGCCTTCGTTTGTTTTTTGAGGATTAGTAGCCTTCGTTCTACTCCGCTGAATTGCTATATCTGCATGCCGTACGCTTGTTTTATCTGGATTGGATTGGAATCCCTGTAGTATCTTATAGAATATTTGAACTGCTGTCTGTTGGGGTTGAGGATGATACCCTTCCAGAATCTAGTTGGGCCTGCATTTGCTGGCCTGGTGTGGCGGAAGCAAAGTATACGGTGAAATTTAGGACCAGTGGAAACGTCTCATTTCACTGTAGCTCCCAGGCTAAGCTCGGAGGATGCAGTCGGCGCATGGTGTGAGGGAAATTTCTACCTGATTCAAAGGAACGGCCCACAGCTACCACCATTTTATCATAATGTATCGACTTATGTTCCAACTTCACAGGACAATGAACATTGTAATTCTTGACGCTGACTAGAGCAACATTGTAATGTAAACTATAATGTTCCAATTTCCCTACAGTCCGTTCGTTGTTTGGAAGCAACACCTCAATCTGCAAACAATACAATGAGACTTAAGCAGTGTCTTGGACGAACAAAGAATCACAGTAAAATTAGAAGTACCAACCCTTAAGCCGCTCAAAATCTCATTTGCGCCATCGGGATCCCTAACCAAGCTCGCTGAGGTCAGAATAGTCGGACATCCATCATAGTCAATGAAAAATCCTGTGCATGCAAAGAACTTTGATTCACCTGGACACCATCAGCCTGTTTGCTTGGTCGTATTCGACTTATAAGCCATAGTTTATCAGCCAACGAATATTATTTTTCTCTCACGTCCAAATCAGTCAATAGTACTTTCAGCCATGGCTTATAAGCCAAACAAGCCTAAACAAATAGGGCGCATAACTGCTATTAGCTAGTGATGACTGAACATATAAATGTGAAATAGTAAATAGCGCGTCACTGTGAATTCACCATGGAACGAAGCAAGTGCGACAACAATGTCAGATATGTTAGAAGAAATTTCTTTCTTGAATTCACCCCAAATACCAGTAGGATATTTGTCACCAAAATGTTCTTCAAAAGTATTAACATTGATGCTACCTGGTAGACGAGATATCGTATAATAGTTAGTGGGACAGCAGGGCTGTAAAAATGCGCAGCGCATGATAACTCAGCAAGCATTGACTCATGACCACGTCCCTTCATGGACTGAGATAACCCAAGAGCCAGTTTAGTTTCCCAAAATTTTGCCAAATGTTTCAAGATTCCCGTCACATCGAATCTTTGGACACATGCATGAAGCATTTAAGCGAGACGAATCTTTTAAGCCTAATTAGACTATGATTGGACACTAATTGCTAAATAACAACGAAAACCGCTACAGTGCATTTTGCCAAATTTTTTGGCATCTAAACAAGGCCCAAATTGTACCTCGCTTATCCTGGTGCAACAAGGTTGATTAGCACTGACATTTGTTAATTCTAAGTACAGCATTTAACAATCACTTAAAGTTCTCCACATAATAACTTAAGATTAAATTGTTATGGCAACTTGTGCAGCAACTCATAGTAGGCTGGATGTCCACCTCGCAGCGCAGTCCATTGTCAACTATTCCCTCCCTCATCAGTCCCTCTCTGTGGATTAGCTACACGACAGCCATTATATTACAGAAACCATAGAGGTGGATTTTTTTTTAATTACACAAGTATAGACGCAGACACTCAACATGTACGCACACTCACCCCTACGAACATACGTATGCAAACCCTACCCCTATGAGCACCTTCGAAAAACTGTGCCGACACATCTCGAGATTGACGAAGTCACCACAGGCGTCTCGCTGTTGACGGGAACGTCGCCTACCACTGAAAGCACAACGCCGTTAAATCCTGGAATAAATCTAGAAAAATACGAGCACCCGTGCCAAATCGAGGACTTCAAACTAGATGAGTAGGTTCCACTACAAAGAACCTAACCAACTAACCAACTAAGCTAATTCCGCGTATCCCATTGACCAAATAAAAAATTCAGTCCACGCCCCTCCACAAGTTGCTAAGCTTGTGAATGAATCTGTAGCACATTGAGGTAGTACTTACCATTTATTTTATCTTCTTGATACGCAAGAAGTACAACAATAGGCTGGATGCGTCACGGTCCATGTCAACAAATCCTCCTCAGTCCCTCTCGTGGAATACGAGTAGAATGCAGGGTTAGTCTTCGAATTTATCGTGCGATGTCATCTACCTAAACTCTAAAAATGCATTTTTAGTTTTCCAAACTTATCATAGGTGTCATGCGGGTCTAAAACTCTTAAATGTAATTTTTAAATCTAAAACTATCATTGATCGTTATCTAGGTCTAAATGAGCTCCAATTTGCTCTACACCTTGACGCCTATACCATGATGAATCCCCAATGGTTCACTTGTTAGATTCCACGTGAGAAAAGGGTCCACAAGCATGATGGGCACTCCATCTCCATGCTCGCGCATATCTATCCCCCTGATCATGTATACTCCCTCCGATTCTCTAAAGCAAGTCGTTTTGGACATCGACACGGTCTTTAAGAAACGACTTTGACTGCAACTTTTGCTATAAAATATTTATAAAATATAGTCAATATATACTTTTATGAAACTACATTTCGAGATGAATCTACTTATATCACTTTCATATTTTCAAACTCAACCCAAAAGAAGTTATTTGTAGTCAAAGTTTAAAATATTTTACTTAAGACAACCTCAAAACGACTTGCTTTAAAAAGAACCGGAGGGAGTACTGTATTTCATATAACCTAATAAATCCATTTTTAGTACAAATAAGGCGCCTATATATGTCAATAGAAACAAAGAGACAATGAGCCTTTATTAGAAGAAGACAAACCAAGTGTCGTTGCAACTGGGGTAATCTCAACGGAATAATCCAGCTAATTAATAAGTGTAAGGTTGTTAAACAGCTTAGCTTGTGGCTAGAAAGAAAGTCAAGTCAAGGGCGCAGCGACAGCTCAGTTGGGTGGCATGTCCCTAGACCCTAGCTAGGATATTTTCTTTGAACCTCTTGCCAAACACGTAGTTTCGTTTTCGTTTGAGGTTACAGCACGTACTAGATCGTTAGACGAGCCGGTTCCCATGCGGTGCCGACAAGAAACTCACTCTCTTTTATAACATAATAACATGCGGTTTAACATGACAGGGTCTTATAAATTACATTTCACTACTTATTTATTTCTAGAGTTAAATGTATCTCTAAACTTGTTAAGGAATTTACTTAGGTCCACGAACTTTGAAAATAAGTTTATGTGTCCGCAACTTGTTAAATAGTACACCGGAGTGATGGGTAAGGTCTAGAAATGAACCTGCATGCGGTGCAATATTTAACAAGTTCATGACCCAAAATGCGTTTCAAACAATTTTATGGATTTAGAAATGCACTTTCAAAATTCGTAAATCGGTGGCACCTCTTAATAAATTCAGAGGCCGCTTTGTTTAGAATCATCATCGTTGTATCAGTCGGAGTGATCCATCAGCAGGACGCGCGACCTTGCCGGTCGTCGATGGAGAGAGTTTTATTTAATTGTTTTATTATTTAGATAATAAACAAGTTGATGTCTCCTCCACCCGGTTATCTCGCGGTGCCATCGTCAACGTGGTATAGAAGCTTACTGGGTGTATAGGAGTCTCTGTCTGTGTGTGTGTGTGTGTGTTTAATAGCCAGGTAGTTTACAGAGGAGTCTGTGTTAGGAGTACGAGTCCAGTAGCGTCCCTAGCTATCAGTGATCGGTTGCGATGTGGAACGGGCTGGAGAGCGCGGCGACCGTGGCGCAGGTCGTCGGCCTCGACGTCGGCGGGCTCATCTCCATGATCGGGCAGGCGGCGCGGACGGCTCGGCAGAACACCAAGGACTGCGAGCACCTAGCGCGCCGCGTCGGCATGCTCGCCGAGCTGGTCCCGCGCCTGCAGGACCCGGAGGCCAGGCGGGCGCTGGCCGGGCTGGACGGCGCGCTCTTGGAGGCGCACCACCTCGTCATGTCCTGCCAGAGGAAGGGGTTCACGTCCCAGCTCTTCTCGGCGTCCAGGATGTCCGAAAGGTTCAGGGACGTCGACCGCAAGATCGACACCTACCTCTCGATCATCCCTGTCATCAGCTACATCGGCATAGCACGCCGCCTCGATGGAAATCCCAGCTCCCGTTCCCAATCACTGCTGGTACGTAGCAGTAGGTTCATCTATCCATCGTCGTCAAGTCAACTCTCTCTTTCTGTGCTAGCTGTGTATGGTCTGCACTTTATTGTTATCTCTTGTCTTGGATCCCTAGGAGGAGTCGGGACGAGCTGAGGATCGGGAGTTCACGCTCGCCGAGATCGTGGTGGCCACCAACAACTTCGCCGTCGTGCTCAGCGACGACGCCGAATCTGGCACCAAGGTGTACAAGGGCAAGCTCCACAACGGGCCTGAGGTGGCCGTCAAGCGCCTCAACCGCACGCGGCGAGGAGCGGAGGACGCGTTCTTCAAGGAGCAGCAGATCCTCTCGCCGCTCCGCCACGACCACATCGTCTGCCTCCTGGGCACCTGCGCCGACGACGGCGAGCGCATGCTGGTCACCCAGTACATGCCCAACGGCTCGCTCTACGACCAACTGCATGGCCGCAGTCACCTGTCATCGTTGTCGCCGGTGACTGCGTCATGGAAGACGCGCGTGCAGGTGCTGCTGGGCGCGGCGCGCGCCGTCGAGCACCTGCACCGCCACGCCATGCCGCTCATCATCCACGGCAACGTCGCCTCCTCCAACATCCTCCTGGACGCCGCTTGGGCGCCACGCCTGTCCGGCTTCGGCGCATCGGTGTGGCAGGCGGCGGGCGTGACGTCACAGGCCGTGGAGGTCACCGCCGCCGCGTCGTACGGCGGGTACGCCGACCCAGAGTACTACAGCACGGGCCGCATCAAGCCGGCCAGCGATGTTTACGGCCTCGGGGTGGTGATGCTTGAGGTCCTGACGGGGCAGCCCCCCGTGGTGAGTGTCTGGGACGAGGCGAAGCAGGACGTGGTGGCCATGACCTTAGCGTCATTCGCGCTGCCGACCATCCAGGCCGGCATGCTGGGGAACGTGCTCGACAGGCGTCCGGCGCCGCAGCCGACGACGTGGCAGCAGCTCCAGCCGCTGCAGCTGGTGGCCAACATGGCGGCGCGATGTCTGTGCTTGCATGGGGATAACCGCCCCGCCATATCAGATGTCATCGCCAACCTCGAGCAAGCACTCTGCCTCATATGAATACATGCATGCATGGACATTTTTAGTTGTACAGTAAAATTGCTTGCCGTTCAGATGTACGTGGAACATTTGTTCAAACTGTCGCCGCTGAAAAGTTCCGCCCTCAAGCAACTCTCCGGGCCGCCGCTGCTCGTCGGCAAGCGTTGGCGATAGGGCTCAACAAGACAGTCATCTGAAGCACCTTTCCCCCACCTCGTCACATCTTCTAAAAGCTTTTGCTCTTCTCTTCGGATGCAACCGGGATGGTCGGCAATCAGTCCAATCCGTGCCCTCTAGGGCCAGATCCGGTGCCTACCACACCCTGGATCTGCTGCCCCTCATCCTCCGGCGACTGTGGTAGCTCAGAGGCGTGTTCGAAGGCACCAAGTCGTTCTACAGGACGACCTCCAATGGTGCCGCCTGAACCACCGCGACGGCGGCGGCTGCAGCAACCCGGGACCGGCGTGTAGTGGGGATGTCGTGTGTGGCCAACTGTCATGGTCGTGCCAGGTAGACTCCGTCAATCGATCCCTCTCTCCATCATGGACTCTGCCAATTGCCAATGATAATGCAACTGGAACTGGGGGAATCTCCACTGAATATCCGGCTAATAAGTAAAAGTGTACTAATGCGTTGTTAAACAAATTTTAGCAACTTGTGAGAAATGAAAAATTATAAGTCAAGTCAAGGGCGTTTGGATGCATGTACCCACTAGTTGCACTGGCTGGCAAGTGGCAATAATAATGCATGTCCCCAGCTAGCTAGCTGCTGCCTTGGATTAAGAGGAAAATTCATGGCCAGTCCTTATCCGCGAACTCCTGCTGGCGTGTCCAAGATCGCATCCGTCATTCTGCGGCGGATCCCTGCTGGTGGTTAGGTGAGATCCGGCACCTACTTTCGCCCTTCGACGCGGTTGTGGGCATCTCTACTTTTCAGCGCTTATGCTTATTTCGCTGTAGTATTCTCTCACGAAACACACTATTGAATCAGCGGATCCCGTCTGGTGGGCAGTCCGCGGCAACCACAACATCCTCGATACCACCGCCAACGAGAACAGGGTGACCAAAATACTATTCGTAGGTCCCTAAATTTGGTTCCGGATCTCATCTGGGTCAAATGGATCTTAACCCACTCCTTAGGCTTACGTGGCACACTTACTATGTATCTCGACGTGTGGGGCCCCCGTTCTAGGTCCACCTCATCTCTACCTGCCAATCCATCCTCCCCGGCGCGTGACGTTCTCGTGCGGGGGGACCACGGCGTCCTCCGCATTGCCGCGCCGTCAACTTCACCGTCGTGCTCAGCGACGACGCCGACACTGGCACCAATGTGTACAAGGACAAGCTCCGCAACGGGCCTGAGGTGGCCGTGAAGCGCCTCAACCGCGCGCGGCGAGGCGCGGAGGATGCCTTCTTCAAGGAGCAGCACTGCACATCCTCTCGCCGCTCCGCCACGACCACATCATCCGCCTCCTCGGCACCTGCGCCGACGATGGGGAGCGCATGCTGGTCACCCAGTACATGCCCAACGGCTCGCTCTACGACCAACTGCACGGGCATGGCGGCTGCAGGTCGCAGCTGTCCTCGTCGTCACCGGTGACGGTGTCCTGGAAGACGCGCGTGCAGGTGCTTCTGGGCGCAGCGCGCGCCATCAAACACCTGCACTGCCACGCTGTGCCGCTCATCAACCATGGCAACGTCGCCTCCTCCAACGTCCTGCTGGACGTCACCTGGGCGCCGCGCCTGTCCGGCTTCGGCTTGTCGGTGTGCCGGGCCGCGGGCGTCGGGCGTGGACTCCCAGGCCGTGGAGGTAGCCAGCGCTGCGTTGCACGGAGGGTACGCCGACCCGGAGTACTTCAGCACGGGCCGCATAAGGTCGGCGTGGTGATGCTGAGGTGCTGACGGGGCAGCCCCCTGTGTTGAGTGTCTGGGACGAGGCAAAGCAGGACGTGGTGGCCATGACCTTGGTGTCGTTCGCGCTGCCGACCAGCCAGGCCGGCACGCTCCGAGACATGCTCGACAGGCGTCCAGCGCCGCAGCCGGCGACGTGGCAGCAGATCCAGCCGCTGCAGCTGGTGGCCAACACGGCGGCTCGTTGTCTGTGCCTGCATGGGGATAGCCGCCCGGCCATATCAGACGTTGTTGCCAACAGATATATACACTACTATTTGGCCTTAATTTGTTTCTTCGTAATAATAACAAATCAATAAATAAATCTGTTTAATAAACAGGGGTGGTGATATCTATTGTAAGTGGCGCTGGTGGAGATGGCTATGCGCTGGTCCTGGACGCCACCACGTTCCAAGAGATTGCGCGCGTCAGGTTCCATATGGCATCCCTACGGCTTCCACGGTTGCTGGATTCACTAATACAAATTGGCTTTGTAGGTGCGGCTTATGGGTATTTGTAGGGGTGACGGGGTCAGCCGTCCTTATTAAAGCGTAGCTATAAATCGTCGATTTGTAGGGACGGTTCTCAGACTCTCCTACAAATCGATTTGTAGATGCAGCTAGCGTTATAAGCCGTCCCTTATAAATCGATTTATAGGGCCCTACAAAATGGATTTATAGGGACGGCTGTAGTACCAGCCGCCCCTATAATATCTGTTTGTAGGGGAGAACCGTCCCTATAGTACATTTTTCAGTTAAAAAAAATTCAAATTTATAATTTAAATTCAACCATAATATATATATATATATATATATGCATATATAATTCAAATCTGACCACAAGCACAAGAGCACAAGGTGTTGGTACTGAGGATTTCTACCTAAATGAACGTTACAAGTATGTATACAAACATATAAGCTAATGAGGATTGTCGATATGTATACGTCTTGGCACATGCTGCAACTCCTCCGTGTACGGTGTACCAAAAAGTGTGCCACTACTCAATGTAGTGATTGCATCTAACACCCCTGGAGCATTAGACTTTCAGACTACAATATATTATATTTCTCAAAATCAAATAACCGTTTTGACTCATGCTGCAAACTCAGGTTACATACTGAAATTAAACACATAGAGGACTCTGCAGCAACTACTACAAATCAACTTATATCTTAGTTACTAATGCACATATGCAGTAAAAATTTTAGAGGTAGGGTGACATTGTTTGGAGGCCCAACACTAAAGACAGTAGTTGAGCATCGAAAATTTGAGATATCTAAGAAGTCAATTAAACTTACTTTCACTGTTATTGGCTTACTACTTCCCATTTAAATAGGGTCTTGACTACTAAAGACAGTGGTTCACTAGAAGTTTGGAGCATCCCCTGGGGCCTTATGATGTATTAATGTCCCTCATCAATATTAAGAGCTTGTGATCTAAATAAAATATTATAAGAAAATCTTAGAACAGTAGGTAATGAATGTTATAAGAGATATTATTATTCAGATCATGACTTGCTAAATATACAAATTAGTATAATTCAGATCAAGACTTGCTAAAAATTCAGATTGCAGCCTAATATATGAGATAGTATATATAAGTCAGATCCAAACATGCTGAAGATTCAGACTGCAACTGAAACAATAAGAAAGTACTTGCTGTTAATTTAGCATAAAATAACAATAAGAATTACTACATAAGGTGCCTGACAAGCAGGTAACTAGTTCTTAATGGCAAAATTATTTTTGCCAGCAAACTAGCGCTCTCTTCGGTGATGTTTACTGAGAAAACAAATTCATATCTGAGACAAGTATTTTTTGACCTGCATTTAGTTCAAAATCGATGATGAAAAAACAGGTAGCAGTAGTACACTTACAAATCAAAGATTAATTTACCTAGCAGTTCACTAAACATTTATCGATATCGAGTCCAGACTTAGCAGCCAGCCATAAACACACACGAGAGATGACGAGATCAAACCATAATTGCATCTACACAAGCAGATAAATTACACAAGGGGAGATGGAGGGCTGTCTCACATTGTAGTGACGTTGGGACCACGTGTCGTCGTGGGTAGTGGTGGCCGCCGCCGCCGTGGCCTCGTCCTCCTCAGAGCTTGAACCACCAGCTCCTTCCTAAGCGCCTCCTGATGGGCCTGCGCTACCACATCCTATGCCACTGCCGCATCTCGAACCGCGCGCCACTTTCAACTTATTTATTTCACAAGGTTGAAAGGCAACCAATCTAGAGAGAAGTGTTGCGGTAGCAGCCACCTGGCCATTTCAGTGGTCAGTAAATCTATACCTAGATATGGATAACAGAATGTTTAATAATGAATTCAAGGTGCACATAGCTTATCCCTTAGGAGAGTGAGAGACTATGCATGATAACGTGTATGGATGGTCGAGACCCTTGGTAATGGTTAGGAACATATTCAGGTTTACATATACCACAGAAATACTTCGTACAGGTCCAATTGAATACTGATTTTGTGAGTTAAGATAAAAAAATACAAAATTAACTTATAAAGTCTGGATGGAAAATTTCCCGGGCAACAATATTAGTATATTACTACACTTGTCATAAATCATGTTGAGAGGGCTTGCCCGAAGCACATGATATATTGTAGAATGAACGGTTACCAAACACATTTCCAGCAATCAATAAAGCATTACCGATGCTGACATACTACAGTCATGTTGCTAAATCAACAGGATCAAACTTGGTAAGAAAATACCAAATTTCACATGTTTGGCGTTCTATGGTTGGCAGAATGGCAGGAAATAAACCAATAACCAATAGAACTTTACAACAACAACAACGACAACAACAACAAAACCTTTAAGTCTCAAATAAGTTGGGGTATGCTAGAGTTGAAATCTAGCAGAAGCAATCAAGGTTCAGGCACGTGAATAACTGCTTTAACCAATAGAACTTTGTCTTTCAAAAATGGTAATTAGACGGGTTGGGGTAGAACTTTGTATTAACCCCTATACCCTTACGGCTAGGCTCGGGCTGGCTCGGACCAGGGGGTCTGGCCCACTAGAAGACGACACGCGGCTCGGCCAATCTGTTTGGAGTCCCGCGTAAGGAATCAAGGCAGATTTGAGATCAAGCAAGATCCTGGTTGGT